TTACTTACCGTTGGCTCGGGACGGCAACTAATTAGCAACGAAATACTGCCCTATGAAAAAATATTTTTTTCTTTTAAACAAAACCAAAGACAATATGCAATGAATAATGGAGTCAGAGACAAAGTTATGCACTTTTATTTTAAACCATAACGTGGCAATGTTTCTTAGAAAAAAAAAAAAGAAATCACTCTCTGAACTTTCGGCCACAGACTGGGTAGAGAAAATTTGGAGAAATAAATTTCTCCAAAAACAAAAGCGTAGAATTTAAATTAGTAGTAATTTTGGCACTAAAAGTGTAGTATATACTACCACTATGCTATAAAGGGTAATTTATGAATTTGATTACAATTTCTAGCAACTAAAAATAATTTTATTCGATAGTTTATACATTCAACAAGAATTCCTGTAAGTTTTATCCATAAATATTGTCTCAAAGTGAAAATATAGCAAAATTTGCAAGTTGGCAAAAAATTTGCAATTCCCGCCATTTTAAGGTCGCGAGCAAACAGGAGTATCAAAAAAAATCTTACGGGGTAGACAGTGAAACCTATAGACAAATTGACGCCTTCTTTAGCATTTGCACACGAAAAAGATAGATTTATGCATACGTATTGCATAGAAATGAAACAGAGCGGTGTGATTGGTGGTCCCTTTCTCCGTTCCGGTTTTTTTGTTTAGCAAACTATACTTTGCTAAACAACTTTGACAGTTCGTAGCGATCTAAGGATTTAAAAAGTTGGTTTAAGTGAGAAAAAAGTGTTTTGTGAGCTTAAGATTGGTGAATCTTGTTCAGTTCAGTTCTTAGAACAATTAAAAATTTTATCTAAATATGTTAAAAAGTCATAAATATTATTGTATAACCTAAAACTACGTTATCGTCCTTTCTCACTCGAGGCCACGCTAACCCTTAGTCTATAGGTTTCTCTGTCTACGGTAACACTAGTGACAACAGATAAAACCTAATGATACCAGAGTGGATATCAATTTTTATTAAAACTAATTTTGGTTTTGTGTACACACAAAAAATTTTCGCAAAGAAACTGAAACGCCAAAGTTAATATATTTATTTATTTAATTAAGCTATTGCATAGCTTCTATCGCGGGCCTTGAGCACGGGGACCGAATCCAGAAATTCCGTAACGAAAAAAAACCTCACGCTCCCCACTCCGACGTGCACGAAGATGTGGCGTTGAAAGCCGTGCATCGTCTAACGTCGTTTCAGTTCGGCAGACTTCGGCACTCGGCAGACTTCGGCACGGTGTTTGTGTGCGTGCGACTAGACGTATACGTGTACACTAGCTGCTAACTTAATGATAAAAATTCCTGGATAGCCTACATGTATTGTAAGATATTAAAAATATTTTAAACAATATTAACTTCTCATTTATTCAATAAGAGAAAAAAAAAATTGTTTTCTTATCGCTCACCACTCTCAAAAAGTGTAACTTGATTTAATATCAAAGACTTAACTGCATAAATAAAATAAATAAATAATTATAATTGCATAAGTTGATAAAAAATGCTATGCAATAGCTTTACCGCGGCAGTCACCGAGTGCCACACGAATTTTTTTTTCTCTGAGAAACACTCTTATTTTTAGGTTATAAATAGCATTTATGACTCTCTTCTTAGAACTAAAATAGTTTCTAAATCGGCTGTGACATATCCCCATAGCAAAATGTTATAAGAAATTATGCTATGAAAATAACTGAAATCAAATTATAGCTGTCTCGTCACTAGTATAACATCTAGGGAGCGTGACGGTCACAGACCACCCAGATTCTCTGGTATATACGTAGACAGAGAAACCTATAGACTAATGATTAGCGTGGCCTCGAGTGAGAAAGGACGATAACGTAGTTTTAGGTTATATAATAATCTTTATGAGTTTTAAACATATTTAGATAAAAATTTTAATTGTTCTAAGAACTGAACTGAACAAGATTCACCAATCTTAAGCTCACAAAACCCTTTTTTCTCACTTAAACCAACTTGTTAAATCCTTAGATCGCTACGAACTGTCAAAGTTGTTTAGCAAAGTGTAGTTTGCTAAACAAAAAAACCAGCACGGAAAAAGGGACAAACAATCACACCACTCTGTCTCATTTCTATGCAAGACGTATACATAAATCTATCTTTTCGTGTGCGAATGCGAAAGAAGGCGTCAATTTGTCTGTAGGTTTCTCTGTCTACGGGTATATAGGTATTATCTATGACCCAGCCTACGAGACATGAAACCCTTACGATTCTCTAATTAAATAAGTCTGTCAAGTTTAGAAGAAAGAAAGGAGTGTGGGCGGCGTGGGAGACGTAATTTACAGGTGTCTTACATCCATACATCCTACTCTTAAATATGATGCGTAAAATACACCGTTAAATACATGTAAAGTTCTTTAAAATATATACATGTATTTTATATGTCATTTACAACGCTAGTCGCTTAAACCATAAATCCGTTAAGAGTGTGTCTAAGAAATACACAACAATAATACATACTCTGGAAAACCACGACTTTGCTTCGGCTTCGGCCGCGACAGTCAGGTGAAAATATCTACATTAGGTAAAATTAACGTAATATAAAAATGTAGACGAAAATTACCAAAATATAATACCTAACTAAACCTTGAAATAGCATACCTAAAGTTAGCAGCTAATTGCTATATTTTGGGCATGCATTAGATTTACTCCCTGATGATGAGAAGCAGATTTTCCGATATTTTCCAAAAAATATTATGGGCGATCAAATTTCAACAAGGTTTTAATACTATAATGGCAAAAGTTTTCGTCAAAGAGCAGTTTTTGAAGATCTGGAGGTTTCTCCATACTTACCTACCGATAAAAACACCCACCGATAAAACTCCCCATAAATCATTTTTACCACCGATGGCTTCTTCTTGGAGTACAATAATGTTAATGAGTGAGTCAGTCAGTCATTAAGTGAGTGGGTTTGTAAAACTGTAATTTCGATTTCAAATTATAATTACAAATAGATTAATACACAAATATAATAGAATTACTGTTCGTCTACACAAAAAACAATAACGTGCCGCCCGCAACCCCTCTGATTGATAGACAAAGACGCAACTATAATACTCCGTGCTTGACAAGGACAGCCTCAGAACTACGACCAGAACGTTGAACCTTCACGTTTTTAGTATTTTAATATTATTTAATGTTGCACTAACCGGTGAAACGTGATTTTATACTTCTTGAAATTATGTTTCCTGCTATCACTACCACACCACTTTACTGCGCAAGTAGGCATGTGTTATTGCTTTTTATTTTAAAAAATTGTAGCGCTAAGGACGCAATGCTCAGGTCTGTTGTTCGGTCCCTACTAAAGAGGGTAGCATTCGTGTTCAACTATATGGGCTCCAGTTGGTCTGTGGTTACGGTACTGTGACCACTGTAAGGCGTGACGTGAATTTAGTATAGTGTGGAGCCGTTTCTTTTTAGTTTGCTATACTGGTTATTGTTAGAAACGGAAAAGGTCCAGTATGCTGCCATCCCCAACTTTCGACACTGTTTTCGAATGAAAAAAATTATCATGTACACGTTTTCTGTTCAAGAAGAAAAATTATTATTTAAATGTTGTTGCTTTTAAAACTTAATGTCCGAGTTTATTTGAATAACAATATTTTATTCAAATAAATTCAGAATTTTATACGTGGTATTCTATTTTTATACGTGGTAGAGCCATGCTGCAGTTATGTTAGTAGTATAGTCGTAACACGAAAGGGTCGGCTCTACCGAGGAAGGACCACGCGCTCACAGAATACCAGTGTCAAATAGTAGCTTAATGCTGCTGTGTTTGGTATGGTGATTGTAGAGAACCGGAGACCCTTTCTACTGGAAACAAGGGCTTCCATCTTAGTCCTCACGAGTGACAACGCATCTGCATTTTGATTCGTAATCGAGGATAGATGTAGATGTCTATGGGCCACAGCAATCGCTTACCATCAGGTGGACTGTGTGCTCGTTTGTCACCCTATCCTAAAAAAAAGAATAAATTAATAATATCTTCAATAATTATTCGTGGAAGCTGTTAAATCTCTCGTTGCTGTAATGTTTTTTGATCACGTGGCCAAAGTACTGAGAGCAAGTTACCTCGCAAGCGCCATTGCTCACAGTACTAAAATGGCGGCGATTTATGATGTCGTATATTCCCTATGGTTCATAAAAGATAGCTTGATCTCTGCGACAGCTGTCAGTAAAAATCACGCCTATGAAGTCCTGAATTTCTTAGTAGTACAGACAGTACCTGTCAATGTCATACTTTATGGGCATGCACTAATTGACATTGACAGGTACTGTCTGTACAACTAAGAAATTCAGGACTTAGGCGTGATTTTAACAGGAGAGATAAGCTATCTTATGAACAGTAGGCATTATACTGGCAGTCATAACGGCGTGAATTTTTTGAGGGGAGCTCGCAGTGTATATCGGAACATGGTCCTAATCTTTCTTATTGCATGAGCTGCAGAGCTTAGTCGCATGCTGCTAAGATGTTTTTGGGAATTTGGCATACTATCGCCATCGACTTTATGACAGCTTGAGTTATCAACAAAATTTTTAAAAAATCTGCAAAGTGCGTCACATATTGTAAAGAATTTTCAATGATTTATTACATTTACAAACAATTTTTATTTTTATTTGACTCTGGCAAAAGTACAATAGCACGCCTCCATAAAAAAACTTGACAACTTGACATTGACATACACGTAGTTTGCAAATGCAAAGTAAAATTTTATTTTGATAATAGAGAGAAAAACATTTTGCTGTAAATAATGCTTTATTTCAATATAAGAAATATATCGTTTCTTTTTTCTTATAATTTTTGTAGTAATCTTTTACTTACCATACTCACGCAGAGGGATATAGGTATTTACTGCATCTATGTGAAATCATTAATAAAATTATTTGTTAAGTGTTAATATTGAACTTGAAACAATTTCTGAATTTTCATGGGTTGTGCTGTGTCGGGTGTGCATCGGACAACGATGTTGATGTTCGGCAAGAACTCTAGTGATACACGTGCTAAATTAGAACGTAAATTATATTTAGCTAAGGAGTCCCCGGAGCCAGACTTTGATATATCAGGATGTGAACTGCGGCATTTACCGTCTGGGATTTTTTCTATATGTAAAGTATTTAGAAAGGATAACTTGTATCTGCAAAATAATTGCTTGAATTCATTGGATCATGGTGGTCAGTTGTCTGATTTGCATCACATTAAAATTCTTGATTTAAGCTGTAATAGATTTTTACATTTGTCAAATGACATAAGATATCTAGTTAATCTAACTGAACTATATATTCATAGTAATCTCTTAAAAGCAATCCCCGAAAATATCAAATACTTGGAATGCTTAAGAGTTTTAGATGTGTCAAATAATAAGTTAACTAGCTTGACAACATCATTAGGTAAATTACAATGTTTAAATACATTGAAGATTACTCAAAATGATGAATTAAATGAGCTTTGCCCTGAACTGTGCTTAGCTCGTAACTTAGCACATATTGATCTAGATGGAGAAAAGTTTACTTTTCCTCCCTCTGAGATTGCTATGAAAGATACAGAAACTATTATGAAATTTTTGTGTGATGCATTAAACATTGAGTATGTAGTTCCTTCATATGTAGAATCTAACATATCTGTTCGTGATGTAAATAGAATTGGAAACCTCTTTTCTAGAAGGAATACTACATCTTGGGAAGAACAAGAGATAGCAATTATTGAACGGGAGAAAAGGATACACAGAGCTAATCAACAGCAAAGAGATAAATTTCTTTCAAAAATCATTCAAGAACAGTTGAATTTAGACTCTGAAATAGCTAAAGTTCATGAAGATAAAGAAGTTGAAAGGCAGAGATTAATTAAAGCTATACAAAAAGATGAAAAGGAAATTGATGTTATTGTTAAGAAATTTATTCAGTCTGATGGTCTTAAACCAGAAATTATTCAGCAACAACTTGCCTATGAAAAGGCTGAACATGATAGGTTACTTGAAGTTACTCGACAAAACTATGACAATATAAAAAAAGCTGATGTATTAAGAGCAATGAAAAATCTTATTAGAAATGAAAACTCTTTTCAGTTTTTTTTGAGAAATTACAGGGATAATTTAAACAATATCAGAGAAAATGTTGTTATTCGAGAATTAGAAAATAATGTAAAGTTATCAGAATTTTTGGATGCTAAAGATAATTCACGAACAGTCTTAGTTCAACAACTTCTAGAAGATGAAGATATCCAAAAAGCTATTGTCACATCTTTGCTGGAAAAAGTTGATTCAAAAACATGGAGCTTAAATCAAGAAATATCTTTTATTTCATCCAATTTAGCAAGGTTGAGTGCTATTGAACAAGAGAAGAAAAAATTACATATTGCATATAATTACAATGAACTGCTACAGCAACGAGTACAGCTAGTGAATTTATTGGATGATTTGTTTGAACAGAAAACCAAGAGGAGAAAGCAACTTATTGACACAATCAGAGAAGTTGAGTTTAAAAAGGATATGAGTACAGATTTTTGGTTAAAAAATTATCAAAAACTAATTGATTCTGCTCCTAAAAACTTGCTCGGTGTTAGTAAACAATTAGATCCTCTATTAGCAAATTATCTTCTACAGGAAGATGTCATACATTGCCTGCCTTTTCTGGTAAAATTTTTATTTTCTGATGAGTCATTAGCAAACATTACCACAGATCAATTGAAAGACAATGGTGTTACACTTTCAGTAGATAGGGATGGTATAGTTAGAGCTATAAAACTTTACATGAGTTCAAAACTTTCTGAACAGCAGATGGAAGTGAGTGGTAGATCTAATGATTTTCATCCTAATGCCCCATATATTGATGATGTTAATAAACGCAATTGCTCAGGAGTATTAGACACAGAAAAAGATCAAAATATTCAAGAAGGAGAGTGTGTTGTTTGTATGGATGCCAAATCAGAAGTAGTCTTTATTCCATGTGGTCATATGTGTTGTTGTCAAAGTTGCGGAATGCAACATATTGATTTGTGCCCTATGTGCAGGATAAATATAGAAAGAAAAATTAAGGTCTTGATTTCATGATTAATGTTCTTTTGTATGTATAATGTTATGTACATTTTTTTTTAAGAAGATTATCTGGGTGGTAAGATCTTTGAAGTATAGGTTTTTTAACAGATCTAATTGTGTTGCAAGATAACCCTGAGGAACATACCCACTTGAACTTATTATACCTACAAAAGAGTTACAAAATTTCATATTCCCCTGTTTCCTTTTTCTTTTTTTTATAGATTGATAAATTCTGTGGCCCTTAGACATCCACATTTAACCTCAATTAAGAATCAAAATGCACTCTCTCTCTCTCTCTCTCTCTACATATTGCTCTACACTCACCATACGAAACACAGCAGCATTACTCTGCTATTTTACGCTGGTATTCCATGAGAGCGTGGTCCTGCCCCAGTTAAGCCGACCCATTTATGCTACAACAATAATATAGTTGCAGCATGGCTCTACCACATACAAAGTGTTATTTGTTTTCTGGATGTCTAATAATAGCCCTATAATTGGTTTAGTTCCTTTAGGTCATTTATTGCATTCATGAAGGAACATAAGATGGACTAAGAAGCGAGTTGAGAGGTCTATGGAGCGGTACAATATCATTATACTCTTTTGGCATAACAATATAGCAATATGAATTTAAATTAAAATATAGTCTCGAATTAGTTATCATTAATAATTTAAAAATGAAATAAAAATAAATAAAATAACGTAAAATTGAAGTGTGTAGGTATTACATTGACAGACATATATATATTTCAAATTATCATTATAATATTCATTTGCAATACTAAAAGCAACATTTATGACCATATAATAACTAAATAGGCTTTTGTAATTGGAATGGAATCTTCACCAAATATATTTCTTTGAATGAATTTAATGAAATGAATTTAGTGAAATGATTTAGGGATAAAACAGAGGAATGTGTCTGTGTGGACTAAATGCCGCCTGGATATTCTCTTAATATTTCTATTAAAAATATTTAAAAGACAATTTAGTATTATTTCAATATGTTTTGTAATATTTTTTTTGTAGGAACCATTTGTTATTTTTTTGTAACAAAAAGTAACTAGAAGTTTTATTTTAGATTTTTCCAAACATTATTTTGTAGATTATCATGTTATAAATATTATTACTGGCATAATTATATTATTCTAATACATTATTTTAAACTTTTTCTATTAATAAACAGAACTTAACAGCTATTTACAAAGTATACATTTTAAAATTATTTAAGTTTGTCTAAACAATTTATATACCTACAGTAACAATAACTTTGTATGTGTAAAATATATTGATAACTTTTGTTAGGTACACATTATGTATAATATATAGGTCTAGGTAAATATTGTGGTATACTTTCTTTTATGTCAAATTATAGTATGTTTTCCTAATACTCTTATTACCTATGTCTCAATTATTTTTGTTATTATTTACAATATTCAAAGATTTATGAAATAATGTTAACATTGGCTCATATATAAACTGTATAAATAGTTTTAGTAATGTGATATAGTGACATGATGAAATTATATTGTTAAAAATAAATTTCAGTAAATACAATCAGTAAAACATACTGGTTAAATATTAGTATTGCCTGTTTATACTATATTACACATTGTATTAATTCTATATTATGTAATGCCATTGATTAGGTTTAAGTATATAAGTAATGATGTTAAAATATGCTAGTCATTCGTGAATATTTTTATTTATGATACACAATATGGTTCCTGGTAATTGAATCTTTCTAAAAGAGGAACATGTCAATATAATTTGTGCCTTCTAAATGTTTGCTAGATATAAAGGTGCATTTTCAAATCTTAAACACAGTTTTATGGGTTCTGTAAAATAAACATGTCTAAGCCTGTGAATTTTACAATAAAAATGTATTTCTTTGTAAAAAATGTGAAAATATTATTATCTATTGCCAATTTTTAGTTTTTAATTAAAATAATAATATTACCTTTGATTTTTAATTTATGTAGCAATTTAAAAAAGGAGAAAAGGGTCACAGCAGGACTGTAAAAACTACCGTGGTATCAGCCTTCTTAGCATTGTGGGAAAACTGTATGCTAAGGTACTAATTGAAAGAGTTATGAAAGAAACTGATGAAAAAATTTGGGATGTGCAAGCGGGATTTAGAAAAGGGAATGGGGTGTACAGATCAAGTCTTTTCCATGCGCATGATCGCGGAGAAGTTTTTGGCGAAAAACCAAAAAGTTTTTTGTGCGTTCATGGACTTGGAAAAGGCTTATGACAGAGTGGACAGGGATGTGTTATGGCAAACGCTGAACGCATTTAGGTTGAGCGCTGGTTTGATACAGGCATTAAAGTCTGTATAGGGACTCGAGTGCTTGTGTTAGAATCAACGGGGTCTACTCTGACTGGTTTGGCATCCATAAAGGTGTCAGACAGGGCTGTGTAGCTTCCCCGTGGCTGTTCAACCTATTTATGGACAGCTGTTTGGAAAATTTTAAAGTTGAAGAATGCGGGTTAAGAATGGGTGAGTTAACCATCAAATGCCTTTTGCACGCCGATGATCGAGTCATACTTGCGTCGTCGGCGGCCGAGTTGCAAATGATGGTTACATTAATGAACAGGTCATTAAAAGAAAGGGGAATGAAAGTGAACGCAAGTAAGACGAAAGTGATGGTTTTTGAAAGAGAAGAAAGCAAAACGGTATGTGAAATAAGAATAGAAGGAGAGTTAATTGAGCAAGTGGATGAGTTCGTATATTTGGGATGTGTATTCAGCAGGGATGGGAGATATGATAAGGATATTGAACGACGAGTGAATGCAGGAAATAAAGTAAATGGGGCTCTACACTCTATTGTTAAAAGTCAGAATGTGTCAAAAAAGGCACGTATGGCAATTCACAATGCTGTATTAGTCCCTACTTTAACGTATGGTAGTGAAAGTTGGGTGTGGCAGAAGAAGCACGAGAGTAGAATAAATGCAGTAGAAATGCGGTCGCTAAGGAGTATGTTAGGGCTGAATCTGAGTGACAGGGTGGGCAACTGTGTGATAAAAGAAGAGTGTGGTTTGCAAGATAATGCGGTGACCAGGATTAAGAAAGGAATGCTTCGGTGGTTTGGTCATGTAGAAAGAATGAATGCGGAAAGACTGACAAAGCAAATATATGTTGCAGAAGTGAATGGAAGAGTCGGAAAGCGACGTCCTAGGCGGAAGTTTGTCGACCAAATTGGCGATATACTAAAAATGGGCCAAATTAAGAGTACCCTTAACCGACGAGCATGTATGCGTAGGTATATGGATGTGGAAGAGGCGAGAAAGGTATGTCAGGATCGTGCTAAATGGAAGTCTGTAGTCTCTGCTTACCCCTCTGGGTGACAGGCGTGAGTGTTTATGTTATGTTTATGTTGTAGCAATTTACATTTTAAATTGTTATTTTATTATTAATATAAATATAGTATATAATAAAACATTTATAATAAAAAGTTTTGTTTATTCATAGTAGGCACTTACCGTTACATAATAACCTCAGTGACTGTATGACTGTTACAAAGTTTGGTAAAACCTGCAAATGTAATGCACTGTTTTTTTATTGTATAAAAATTTGATTATCTACTTACATAGAGGTTTTATGATGTCATGTATGTTTTGACATTATTAAAAATATGTGATTAGGGAGGAGTAGGAGGTAAAGTTAATCATTACAGTCAAACAGTGTTCAACTTTAGAATTCTTATTAGTTATTATTAAAAATACGGAATTATTAATGTAAAATGTAATCATTTTATATATTATGTTATCTGTGTATAATAAACATCATTTTATAGTTGTGAAATATATTACCTACTATTATTATACAATTATTTTATGCAACATTCTTCATGCCTATAATTTATCTTAATATTTTATATATTACTTATTATGTATAGAACAGTTCATATATTAATTAACTAAGATCAACATCAAATAATAAATAATTTACACGTAATTAAAAAAAGACAAGTATTATGATATCTCGTTCGTTACAATTCATGAAAAAATGCCATGAGCACATTGAAGTAATATGTACTTACGTACGATTTTCTTTAAATCAACACAACACGTGACAACTTTACAAGCGCCTAGCGAGTGACTGATTAAAGTGCGGTGTATGCACCGCAGTTGAGTGGAACAGAGTAGCTGAATGCAGTGTCGCCTCTAGTACGTAGTACATAATAGCTCAATGCATGAGCATTATCATATTACATGCAATTAAAAAATTACATAAATTTATTAACCGTGATGTAAGTATAACCCTTTGCCAAAAAGATAGATCTCATACCACAATGCTCAATAAATTTTAAAAATTAATAGCGTTATAATAAGGATTATTGTGTGGTGATGGTAGTGTAAGAAAATTCCAATAACATCCTTAGGTCAATTCAAACTAGCGCAGAGTCGAAGCGAATCGAAGTGTCAAATTCTTCACAAAGCAAAGTTGCATGAAAGTTGCACGAATTCGCGTGAATTCGCGCGCTTTTATATTTGAGTAGCGATGTACATAATATGTTTCCAGTCAATGATTTCAAAAGGAAGGATAGGCCCATCTAAATATTATAAGTTTTTCATACAAGAAAAAGTAGCGCATCTGTCATAATGCAAACGTCATATCAAAACACGACGTAACCAGTGTCGGATTTCGTAGTATAATTATCCTATTTGTTAATTTTTTTATTACATTATTTCATAGTTTGTAGTACATATTTTCGTAATAATACTAAGCGAAAATACCATAATTTTACCTAGAGGTAAAAGGACTTGTATTATTATTGGGTCCTTTTACATTTTAATATTAACCCTACGATATAGAGAATTTCCGTATTGTACATGAGTACCGCGTTTTTTTTTAAATAAAATTTGAATTAGTCAATTCTGGTCAATTGATGCTCGATCGATCCTTTACTTTTGTACACATTTCGTTTACCCTTATTGAATATAAAATATATTAGGTACCAATATTCAAAATTTAACTTACACTAAGTTCTTCAGACAAAAATTAAACAGAA